GGAACTGAGCATTAAGACCTGCAGTGTGAACGTAGCCTAAGATGTTTCTGTACAGCTACATAACCGTAAACCCCTGTATCAAAGTGTGTGAATGTGAGTGTGAATGGGTGAATGTCTGTAAGTGTAAAGCGCTTTGGGGTCCGGAGGGATTTCATAAAGCGCTCTATTGGTTCAGTCCATTTACCATTCCATCAAACTAGAATGGAAGCCGGAGGGGGGCGGGGTGTGAAGCACCTCATTTGGATTTAAAGAAACAGCCTCAAAATGAGTTGATCTGAGACACATCTCAGTAAAGGGGTGAAAGAGGGGCTTGTGGAGTTACAATAAGGAGGAATTCCACTTTATATAGACCCCAACTGAATGATTTAAATGCGGAAAAGAAGAATTTAAAAGTGTGATATGTCTCCTTTAATGATTTAACCAAAAATATTGTGCATAGTGTAGCCCTCTGAATATGTGGTGGGGATGCTCATCTACTATTGAAATTGGCTGAGTTKTAGCCATGCGGCCATCTTGAACTGATTTGATTCTAAATGTTAATTATAGATACTGTTTAAGTGTCATTCAAATTTGCAGTGTGAATGAGATATTTTGATCAAATCAGACACATTTGATTAATTAGGTAATATAAAAGTTGTTAAAAACAGATCTGGCTTTGAGTATGTGTTGGGAATGAGAGTCTGAGCTACTACCACACCAAAYCTTAGCTCAGTATCTGTAGATTTGCCTGACATATAGCCATTTGTGTGTTGGCTAATGTCGATTAGCTTCGCTGTCTTAAAAAGCTGTAGATTCACGTTCAAGGATTTCATTAAAACTTGTTCATGAACTAAACTTAGCACAAAAAGTTAGGAAATTAATGTTTAGTTTGTAACAAYGCTTCTTGGTAATAAATCCACTGGAAAGTCTGTTAATTTCCCTGTTAAATGGTGCCACATTTGTAAGGAACATGCATTTGTGGGATGAGYAGCTGAGTWTGTGGGTTGCRCACATGAAAAATTTGCCAAATCATCTCTGACAAACAGCTTGTTTTGCTGTTATTGACACTTGTTTTGAGGTTCTGGTACCACCAGGTTCTGCTGATCAGGTGTCCAAAAATATAATTTATTGACAGCTTGCTAACACTATAAACATGCACAGACGTCAGCACTGGGCGGTTATTATTCCCAACCTTTATTCTGGAAGGTTCTGTTGGCCCTTTGCTGTTCGAGTTATAGTTCTGAAGAATGCCTGTCGTGTGCAGTTGGCCTGGATTTGTAGTTTTAAGAACAAAGTAGCTGATGTGTGACCTGGATACTGGGTCCGCTATGGAAAAGCTCCTCAGGCTAAAGATGTGGGGAAGTATCAGGCTAAAGACTGACACTTTAACACATCATTTAGATTTGTCAAGTTTGCTTCAGTGAACAAATGGGGATGGGGTTCCTGCCCGTGTCCGTGTGTGTTTGTTTGTCTGTACAGTGTTAGCAATAAATCTCATTAAACAGTGGATTTAGCTCAATAAACTGTGAAGAAAGTATCACTTCATGAACCGATTAGCTTTTGGAGTCAACTAAATWGATTTTAGTCAATAACCCAGTGAATTTAACCGATGGTGACTTAAAATTCATTGAGGTAGTAGCTGAGAGTCATTCACAACGCCAAGCACTAAAAATAAAATCTCACTAAAACCTTGGTTTATAATTTGTGGGAAATCCACTCTTTTAAGGAAGGCTAGCCCTTAAATTCGTGCAGCAGTGAGGAAGCATTTGTGTTTTATCCTGCACATTAGGGAAAAAAAATGGAGAAAAAAGTTAATATTCATTAGAGGATAAAAATGTGTTTTGCCCCTCATTGTGGAGGAACACCCCTCATGTCTTTATGCGTGTTGCTGCTGGTCAGACACATTTAGCCTCTGAGAGCCGAGGAGTGAAGGTGAGGCTGACTGAGCAGGGATGTGCGTGTGTGTGTGTGCGCATGTGTGTGTGTGTGTGCATGTGTGTGTGTGAGAGAGAGAGAGAGAGCAGGATGGAGATGCTGTCACATCTCCACCCCCCATTTACACACACACACACACACACACACACACACACACACACACACACACACTTTACTGGAGCTAAAAATAGAACAAGAGACAGCTGGAATGGCAAGTAAAAAAAAGACATGCGGTGCTCTGAAATGCACATTGATTTCCGCTGCACGTTTTTTATATTTTTTCCCTCCTAATTTCATCTCTGACTCCTCCCTCTTACCCTCCTTCCTCATTTATTGAATCTACTCCCGGTCATTTTCTTTACATTGCCTCCTGCGTTGTTTTATTTATTTATTTTTTTCTTCTTGCTTTATTGCCAATTCGCAGACAATATTTGATGCAGATGCTCTTTTGCAGAAGACACCAGGAGGAGGGGAAAAGAYAAAAATGGAGGGAAATGATGCCGTGAACTTCCCCTCTGGCTTCTGTCTGCAGAACAATATTTTCTGCTTTCSTTTTATTGAAATGAGAGAAACCTGTCTTTGTTGCCCCCCTTTTCCTTTGGATACCCTTCAGAGCAGTCCTTGTGGACAGCACACCCATTCACAGCTAWAAATAACTCACTCTCTTCCTCCTCACCTCCTCCCCTCCGACCAGCACCTCACCCCGCTCCTCCTCACCCACCCCACCCCCGCCTCTCCTCCTTCGCTCATCTCCGAGCACAGCCATTTGCTCCTGGGCTTGCTGTCTGGGGCTCTCCCCTCCTTCCTTCTCTCCGTCGTTGTCTCTATGGTTCGCCTCGCCGGCTCCGGTTTATAACCTGACAGGCCGGAATCCACGCTCCGCCATTATTCTCGTCACATTGTGCACCACACGCTCAGAAAACCCTGCTGGGTTCCCACACAGACTTTCTACTGGAAAGCCTGAGTTAAGTGCGGCGGCTAATTGGGAGGAAAGACCCGTTTGTTTGTTTTTCTGATGGTAGAGAAATAACGCCAGGATACAGCTGCATGAAAACACAGTGTGACTGTGCCATTTGATGCCATATGCTCTCCTCTGTCGCTGCACCCTCATTGCAAAACAACCACCACGTTTCAGAATTAGAAGTCTCACTTATGATGCAGTCAAGATTTTAATGTTTTTGTGACATGCAGGACCTCCTAACTCACTTTGTGCAGCATGTTGTGGACTGAGAAGGACGTTATGCTGGCTGTTTTTAGTTCAGTTTTTAACTCTGAAAATGTTTGAACTCCTGATGTGATTTTTGTGATATACTCAATTTTAAGATAAGATAAAGTTTGTTCCCATTTACGGTGGGGTGCGAAWGTTTGGGCGGTCTTGTTAATTTTCTTGATTTACCTTTATAAATCAATGATTGTTTGGATTTAAAAAACAGTTAAATATATCATAGGGGACAAACAAAGTGATATTTGAGAAGTGAAATTAAGTTTATATGATTTACAGAAAGTGTGCAATAATTGGTTAAACAAAATTAGGCAGGTGCATAAATTTGGGCACAAAAAAAAAACCCTTAACTCAATATTTAGTAGATCCTCCTTTCACAGAAATAACAGCCTCTAAAACTTCCTATAGCTTCTAATCAGAGTGCCCAAATTTATRCACCTGCCTAATTTTATTTAACCAATTATTGCACACTTTCTGTAAATCGTATCAACTTAATTTCACTTCTCAAATATCACTGTGTTTGTCCCCTATATGATATATTTTACTGATCATCCAAACAATCAATGATTTATAAAGGTAAATCAGGAAAATTAACAAGGCTGCCTAAACTTTTGCACACCACTGTAACCTAAATCAGGGCTATTCAACTGGCGGCCCGCGAGCCACATCCGGCCTGCGGGTGACTTCCACCTGGCCCGCCAAAGAGGGCCGTCCCCCTGAATTTTTTTAACTTATTTTTTTGTACTTAATTTAATATAAAAGTATATTTCAAATCATTTATAAATTTCAAAATTTATAATGCAATAAAATAAACAAATCGAAAAGGTAAAAGATAATAATTGTTACATTCTGTGTAACGTAACATGGGGGCGGGGAATGTCCGGCCCCAAGCTGGGGGGGGGGGGGTGGTTTAGTTGAATAAACCCTGCCTTAAGTACATTACAGCAATGGTTCAAGTTGGAGTCGAGCCCCATGACAGGTCATGAAACACCAATTAGTGAGTCTTGAGAAGATCTAGGTGGTCATTTGTCAATATCGTCCAACCCTAGCCATTAGCACGTTTCTTCTCAACTTTTCAAAGAAATACAACAGTTGTCATTCATAGATGAAAAAAAAAATGTATTAGTTGATGTTGGTTGTATCATCTTTTATGGCTTTTTTATGTGATTCAACCAGCAATGGTTGGGGCCACAAGTATGCAACTTTTATTTCGTGGGTTGAACGCAGAAACGTTTGCGAGCCGCTGCTTGTACCTGTGAACCATTTGACGTAACATCGCAGTAAAAATGACCAGTGTCTCTTTAAAGAATTTCACAGCGGGGAGAAACTGGGGAAAAAAAACCTGTCTAATTCTTATGACTTTTTGCTGACCCGTGTCTTTTTCCTGTAGATACTCCATCCTGGTCATGGCTGCCCCAGTTCTGCAACCTTCGAGACCTCCGTCGCCGAGCCCAGCTCAGGCAGCTCGAGGACTCCAGTGGTAACATGGTCCACATCAAGCAGAAGCTCTACCACAACGGTCACCCCAGTCCCCGACACCTCTGACTCTAAACACAAGAAAGAAGACGAAAGATGAATTAGTCCTCCTCCCTTTTCTTGAAACTCCTTCTTCCCTTCGACACAACACAGCCCCTTCGTGCCAAACTTCCTCGTGGCCAAAAGTTGCCTCAGAGACCTGGAAAACTGCCCTCCCTTTGTTTATAATATGCTCCCCCTTTCACCCCATTGGACAGGGGTGAACCCCCATCTCTGTCTGCACTTAAAAAAAAAATCCCAGAACGGAACGAGATTATTTATTGCCACTGAAATCTTAAGTTTATGTCCACCATTGTGGGAAGAAGAGGAAAAACATTTTTAAAGGTGTTTTTTTTCTGTATAGAGACATTTTCTGTGTTTATTGTTAAACTTGGCATGCTCTCTTAGAACAGGGTAAGATTTGGGCAGCGTATGGAGTGGGAGGAGGCGAGACGGGTGTTTTTATTTTCCTCTTTCGGGTGGGATGGGGTGGTGGGGTGTTTAAAGGGTTGGAATGCGACTGCCGGGTGGGTGAGTTTGGGTTTTTTTTTCTGTTCGACTGCTGCTTCTGTAAATAGGTATAAATACAGATAAGTGGGGATTTAACAAAAAGGGGGTGAGGCATGGGGTGGAGAGTTATTTGGGTGAAGAAAAATATTGGATTGTTTGAGTAAAAATTACAGGGAAGGAACAGAAAGTTAAGTCTGTTTGCAAACTGGATGTGAAATGTGATTTCTGCTAAAGAAAAAAACAAACAAAAAAACAGATTAATTAGCTTTGTTACCTAGTGAACTAACTGAATGTATTATTTTTTTCTGTAAATATGTGAGGGGGGGTGGAGGGCGTGTGAGTTGGTGGTCCGAGTTCTCTTTGCTAAATCACCATCGTTTCGTTTTACGCACGAGGACAAATAAATGCCAGCCACAATGAAATCAGTTAACACCCATCAGTGTTCCCCCCAAATTCAGCTTCCTTTCATCCAGTCCATCATCTATAGCAAGCTCTTTGGGTATTTATTCCATACTCTGGAAACCAATCATCATTTTCACTCTAGTTCACAATTAAAATGAACTAGTTTCACATTCGGTCACAGCAGGTGAACAGTTTGGTGCATTACACTCAACAAACACTCGTACTAGTAGCGCTCTTTTAGCTGATTATTAGGTGTCAAAGTCAGATTTTTTATTCACTAGTAGCCCAAAAATCCCAACTAGTGGGTTTGAAGGGACCACTGGACCAAACTAGGTACTACAATTTAACTAATGAGCATAAAAACTATGSCAACTAAAGGACAAGTGAGGCCAAATAATATTTAACTAGTGAACTATTTGGCATTTTGGGCTTTACTAGTTAACTGGTAAGGCAATATTTAATCAGAGAAGTCAACTAGTGTGACTAAATTTGGCTCTACTAGTCAACATTTTAGGCGCAATAGCCGACTATTTGACATTTTTAGGGTTACTAGTTAACTAAAGAAACCTAAAAGCATTTTAGGCCTGACTAGTCAACTAGTAAGGAAAATTCTAGAAGAACTAAATTTGACACTAACCAGTAAACATTTTGGGCACACTAGTTAACTAATGAAGCCAAAAAGTGTATAACCAATTAATTAATGAGCATTTTGGTCCTGACTAGTAGGTAAAATGTTGCCACACCTTTTTTTTAGTTTATTAATTTCTTTTAAAAAACAACGTAAATTCAACATACAACAAAAATACAAATCATTAATTAAATGAAAGGTAGCAGAAGAAGATGAAATCTTATTTTGTCTTCCCCTTTTTCTCTAATAACTAATTTAAATCAAAAACAATCTTTAGTTTATAAAAAATGAAGAAAGAAAAAAGAAAAAAATACAAAGGTTTATCTCCTTGAACAACAATTCATACATTTACATGTTTCTCCAGCAAATTATTCTTTATCATTCTCTTAAATATACTCATTAATCTGGCATTTTTGATGTCATCTTCCAGATTATTCCATAATCTTATACCCTGGACTGTTCCTTTAAACTGGTTTTAAATTTGGGTTTAACAAACATCTTTATCCCTTTGAGATTATAACAACTTTCTCTTTATTAGTAAAGTGTAATTTGATGTTTGAAGGTAATGTGTTTTTATGAGCCCTATACATAACTGATAAAATCCCATAGTTAATCAAATCATAGTATTTCAATAACTTATAGCATACTAGTTAACTAATGAAATCAAAAAGGTTTTAACTAATGAGCATTTTGGTCCTGAGTAAGGCAAATTTTTGAAGAACTATTCTACTAGTGCAACTAAATCTGACATTATTAACTTAACAGTCAACATTTTGGGCACACTAGTTAACTAATGAAGCCAACAAGTGTTTAACCAATTAATTAATGTGCATTTTGGAACTAAATAATCAATTATTAAGGCAAATTTCAGTCAACCTAGTTAACTAGTTCAACTAAATCTGACATAACTAGTCAACATTTTAGGTGCACTGGTCAACTAACAAAGACAAAAAGTGTTTAACCAAGCATAACCTGTGCTGACTAGTAGTCAGAGCCGGCTCTTGGCATAGGCGAACTAGGCGGTCGCCTAGAGCGCCATCTGCTGGAGGGGGCACCGAACTGCAGAAGAAAAAAAGGCAATTATTTGTAATCCCTGGTTGTAACTCTGCTCAGCACCCCTTTCAATTAGCTTTGTCTTAAAAAATTATAATGAAGTATTACAGGAAAAATAAACCACTCTACCCATAAAACATTTTCTCCCCCCAATGCAGCAAACGCCCCCACCCTCTCTCTCATTTGATTGACGTTGCACTGACTCGTCCTGCTCTGACACTCTGACGGGGGAGGGGCTAGTAGTGCCTCTCAGGTAGCGGTTCGTGTTGACAAACTCAATAACAACAAGTCTGTATTTAAGTCTGTCAGTCAAACTTGTTTTTAGGGGGTTCAAATTGGAGTGGGTGGGATATAGTTCGTGGGGGGATGTTTGCGCTTCAACTCGATAACACTGCTAGTAGTTAACATGTAAGGATTTTGCTGCTTACTAGTGAACTTGTACTAGTTAGCTAATTCAGTCCAGTGGTTTACAAGTACCATAAAAAGCCGACAAGCTGGGACTTTTGGTTTACTAGTGTGCCAAAATGGCTGACTAGTAGGTGACTTGCGCTCCAACCAGTTAGGTACAAGTGCTCCAGAAAACTAGTACTAGCAAAAGTGTTTGTTGAACTCGTGTAACCAAACGTTCAATTACCGTTGATGCTTGTCGTCACGGATCAGGAATAAATGCACAGACGGCTTGCCATACTCCCCTTCCWCTTGTCAGGAGCAACCAGCCTATGAGCAGAGGGAACCCTCACCCAGCACCCTCCCCCACCCGCCCTCACCCTCTCTGTCCAGACATTGCTGTTGTGAGGATGAAATGTCTGTTTTATTAAAAGTGCCACTGAAGCACAACAGTGACCTCTGATGTTTGATTGTGTCGTTCCCGAGCAGCGGTGAGGATCTTTCAGATTGCTGATTGTGCAGCCGGGTCCTGCAGGTGGCGCCCGTTTGGATTATTAAAATTCAAACAGAAGTACGGAGAGCTGCTGACTGACAACACTTCTGAGGTGCCTAAACAAAGCCGGTGACACCGGGGAGCTGAGAAAAGCCTGTAGTTATTAAGATGCATGAGGGCATTTTAGAAGATCACTTTTTAGTTTTACTAAATATTTTTAAGGAAGTACACAATTAATATACAAATATACAAATATTAAATGGAGGTTTCTTCACAAACCTCATAAGAAAAGGCTTGGCAATGAAAATTTTCAACATTTCATAAATATTCAACACTCATCCTAAACTGAACTCACCTACGCAGCTGTTTTACCACCCGAATACTAAAATTGTAAATGCTTACAAAGCACCAAAAATAATAAGAAAGTTTGCAAAGTGTTAACAGAAACGGTGGAGCTCAAGTTCAGATTAGAGAAAACAAGAAACTGAGAGCGAACTGGTTCAACTGGTAGCGAAGGGAATAAAAACCAGTTTTGGTGTTTTGCTGCTTGGTTCTGCTGAGAAGTTTTAAATAAACCTGGTTAATTTTTTTCCCATCAATGATGCTAAACTCAAAGTTTTTGTAGCAGTTTTGAAACAAATGTTCTTTTAATATGTATATGAGTAAATGCTATGTGAACGCTGAAAGCTAAAAATTTGCTGATTTTTGTCAAAAGAGGCTAGGTTGTTAAAGTTCAAAACACAAATTAAAATGAGTAAAACAGTTGCAGAAATTATCAAAAACTGTAGCTACAAAGTAAGACGTCAGGACAATTGGCAACTACTAAAAATTAGGCAAAAGAATTAAAGTAGAGCACAAGGTTTAATAAAAAATTTTAAGAGCTCCATTCATTTTAATGTGTAATATACTGTACATAAAAAGTTAAATACTTCAAAAGGTGTTAAAGTTATAAAAAAAAACTAAAATCATTTATAAAAATGTATATTAAAAACTAAACTGTGTCACACAGTTCTCATCTTGTTCTATTCATTTTTTTCCTGGAGGAGATGAAAGATAAATGTCACAGCTCTGCCAGATGTATGTATTCATTATATCAGCTGATGTCTTTGAGAGCCTTATTATCAACACTTTGAGAGGAAAAAACTCTCTCAAATGAACAGATACAAAAGGACAGCAGTATTCTCGGCTGGGAAGCTAAATCTGTACGGACCATTTCACGACACATCTTGATTCATTTCCTCCAAATGACAAATTATATGACTCATGTTGGAAAAGATGTAATTAAACTCAAATCATACAGTCACAGATTAGGAGATAGGGAGAGAGATGGTGGAAAAGGCCTTTTTGTGTGAGATGAACATAGTTTACAGTACATCTACATTTTAACTGCAGCTCCTTTAGAAAACGCTTATTTCAGGTTTTCTTGTCTCCTAAACGTACAGATTTGTCCATCCATCCATCCATCCATCCATCCATCCATTAAACCAACCAACCAACCAACCATCCATCCATCCATCATTCATTCAACCAACCAACCAACCATCCATCCATCCATCCATCCATCATTCATTCAACCATCCATCCATCATTCATTCAACCATCCATCCATCCATCATTCATCCATCCATCCATCCATCCATTCAACCAACCAAACATTCATCCATCCTTCATTCAGCTATCCATCCATCATCCATCCATCCATCCATCTAACCAACTATTTATCCATCCATCAATCCATCATCATCCATCCATAAATCCATCCATCCAACCATCCATCCATTCATCCATCTAACCAGCTATTTATCCATCCATCATCATCCATCCATCCTCCATCCATCCATCCAACCATCCATCCAACCAACTATTTATCCATCCATCCAACCAACCATTTATCCATCCATCCATCATTCATTCAACCATCCATCATCCATCCATCCATCCATCATCCATCCATCATTCATTAAACCATCCACCCAACCAACTATTTATCCATCCATCCATCCATCCATCCATCATCCATCCATCATTCATTAAACCATCCACCCAACCAACTATTTATCCATCCACCCATCCATCCATCCATCTATCCATCCATCCATCCATCCATCCTTCATCCAACCATCCATCCATCTACCAGCTAATTTCTCACCCTATCACTACAGGAAATCAGTTACCCCATGAAGAAAACTAATTTCAACTGACTGCTTGTATCTGCAATAGGTGAGGGTAGGACTATAGACCAACTGGTAAACAGAATGCTTCTTCTTCTTACGACTCAACTCTCTCTTCACCACAACAGACCAGTCAGCAATACTGCAGAAGCAGCACCAGTCTGTCTRTTAATCTCACGCTCTATTCTTCCCTCACTCGTGAACAAAACCCCAAGATACTTAAACTCCTCTACTTGATGCAGAACTTCACCCACAACCAGGAGGGAGAAATCCACCATTTTCAGACTGAGGACCATGGACTCAGATTTAGAGGTGCTGATTCTCATCCCAGACGCTTCACACTGGGCTGTGAACCACTCCAGTGAGAGCTGAAGATCACTTCACGATGACGTCAACAGGACCGCATCATCTGCAAACAGCAGAGGTGGAACCCTCTGTCCCYTGGCTGCACTGAGAAATTCTGCCCAGAAAAGTTTTGAATATAATTGGTGGCAGCCCTGGCAGAGTCCAAMTCCCACCTTCTGTAAAATCTTACACATTTAAGGGTTTGTAATAATGGCTGAAGAGGAAAATTATGCAATTTTCATATTAGCTAAATCAAAGGTCCCTGTACTTTCATTACAACCAATGCATTTTCTCAAAATGAAAATGTATTCTTGGGTCCTTCCTAAAAGATGCATTCATTTTTGGATAAATGCACACGTTGCATAACAAGAATTTCTGGAGGATGTTTTCCACCAGGTCCTGCCATTTTCCAGCTTTGCAATGTCTTAACACTGGATGTTGACAAACTGAAGCAGTTTTAATCTCCTACTGAATCAAACCACAGCAGGTTCATATGGAGTAGATTTTGAGTTTGAGCATATTTCCTACAATCAAAGCTGACCGAGGGCGCTCTGCTTATGCACCACTTTCTCAACCATTAAAATGCCATTTCATAAAGGCAACTAGTAAGACTCAGACACCTCTGTGGTTTGAGTATTGAACACTTTATTCAYACCATTATGCAACCTGAGCCGGCAAAGCCATCCCTAGAGACCAATGCTTTCCTTTGAGGTGGTAAATCAACTCAGCGACAGAGCATCAGCGCCTGCATCTTAATGAAAGACTTACTGTCTCTCTGCAGAGGTAGACTCAATTCTAATTTATTGAAATATAAGCCCACGAGTTTTTCCCTCACCACCCGATTCAATAACACCACATTTCCAATCGCATCACCGTGGGCCGTCAACCGTCCAGTCAAACTCTTCTTGCTGGTTGTGTTAAGTAGAAAAAAAAGAGACTAAGCAGCAAGTTTTTTTGTTTTGTTATTTTTACAGCCAGTCTTGCACGGTGTCAGGTGTTGTGGAACCCATTTAGCAAAGCTCCAAGGCTCTCTAATTTTCACCTGCAATGCAAAAATCATGAGTCATGAATATCTGAATTGTAAAAAAACAAGGCATCATCAAACTGAACTCACCATGGCTCACTTATGTAGGAGTTTATCTGCTTTATGTGCAAAGAGCTCCAGGCTGCCGGCACAGAACATCAAAGAGAATAAACTTACAGTCTTCAATTTATAAATAAGGCTTTTAAAGTAAGTAGCCAGTAAAGTAAGAGCTGATCCAGATACCACACTACATCTAATCCACACTATTGACCTCTCAGAGTCAATAGTTGACAGTTAATTTAGAGATTGTTAATGGAGCCAATCAAACTGTCTTTCTCTGGTCGCCTGGTGTTGGCCAAGGCACTTACCTCATAACTCCATGTTCGACCCCATAGAGGACGCACCTGTCATGGTGATGGGGTCTGTGGCTGAATGAAAAATCCATCTGTTCATCCATCATCTTTACCCGCTTCTTCTTTTCCAGGTCGCGGGGGTCACAGGTGCCCATGTCTAGCAGTCATTGTGCGAGGGGTGGGGTACGCCCCGGACAGGCCACAAGCCCATCACAGGCCAGGAATTACAAACAAACAAAAAAAATCTGGAAGGCAATCGAAAAAAATATCAAATAAACAGATGGAAAAAAAGTTATAACTAAACTGACACAGGTATTAATGCATATGATGTTCACAAAAAAAGTTGAACTTTTAAAAAAATATTGATAAATAATAACCTCACAAAATTTTAAAACATTTATCAAAATGTTTTTTTCCCCAGTCTGGTTTCGGGATGACCGAGTTTGTGAGGCTACACGTGAACGCAACGCCGATGACGTATACGGATATCGAGGCCGCCTCTTCCGTTCACGGGTTAGAAAACATCTGACTGTGTTACTTCACTGTCATCCAGGAGTTATTACGCTCCAAATATTTACACATCGTAAATATATCCAGCCAGGAATATGTCTGTGGCTTGTCTGAGCCGTAATGTTATGGCTTTTAGGAGTTCTGGTGTGAAGATGGTGAGTATCGGGATTTTTTTTCCCGATAAAACTTAGCTTTCAACTATAAGTGCCACATTTTTTACTTTTTAGCTCGTGCTAGACTTAAAAAGTGAGTAAAATTACCAATAATACGGAAACATGACACTATAACCTCACGCCACGGTGTGAGTGCATGTTTTACGAAATATCGACGAGTTTTATCTGTTAAATAATTAGAAATTCACATCAAAGAAAGGTTGGATTTACTTTTTCTTTTTAATCCATGATACTGAGTTATGTTCGTTTATTTGAGGAGTTTAAATGTGTAAACATATTTCTGTACTTACAAGATGATAAATATTGTTCTTCACTGTCCTGAAAAAGTCAGTTAAGTAATCTTTGGATAGTTGTGATGTAATGTTTTCCTGTCAGTTCATCCAAGCTGCCGCTAGGTGGCGACTCAACACTGTAAAATAGTCCCAGCCTGGGGATTTCTGTCATTGCTGCAACAGATAAAATAATAATAATAATAATAAAATAAAAATAAATCAACAGATTGAAAATAATGCTAATTTAGTTCAGAACAGAGGCAGCATTTATTGCAATCAGATATGATAGATTTAGTTGTAGAGTGTGATAGCTTTGATTGTTTTTAGTGTCATGTTTCTTTGTCTCGTCATTATAGACAGTGCATACCAGAGTTAAATAAACACTATGAATATGCTTTTTTGGTACATAAACAACAACACTGCCACTATTTTTATGCCCCTTTTTTAGTATAGCAATAAGGTAAGTGTAATTATTGCCCTTTTTTGTGTGTGTAACTTCTTGTATGTACTCCCCCACACTGCCGTTTGTTTTTCTTGTTTGTAAAAGATTAAACTGAAGTAAACAAATAAGAATATTGATCTCCTTGATTTTCATCTGTAATAAAGATGGTGCGGTGCACTCAGACTGCAGTCGCTGCGGCTCCAGAACCCAGGATCAAGAAGTTCCAGGTTTACCGCTGGGACCCAGACACCCCTGGAGACAAACCACGAATGCAGACGTACGAGGTTGATCTCAACGCGTAAGTTACGACCCAATCAATGAAGAGAACGCTGCCGAGCAGCACTTTACTCCTTTAGTCTCGCACGATGAAACGCCGCTGTCGTGTGTTTGATTGTCATCCTGTGAACACAGCTGCGGTCCGATGGTTCTGGACGCCCTCATCAAGATCAAGAACGAAATCGATCCCACGCTCACCTTCAGACGTTCCTGCCGGGAGGGTAAGAGTCTCATTTCTGTCTGATCACTTTTAATGTTACTGTATTCGTTGTACTGAACATGTACGGGTTCCTTCAGGTATCTGTGGCTCGTGTGCCATGAACATAAACGGAGGCAACACTCTGGCGTGCATCAACAAAATCGACACCAACACCAGCAAACCCGTTAAAATCTACCCACTGCCGCACATGTATGTGGTGAAAGATCTGGTGCCCGTAAGTTTAAATTGTTTTACCTTCATKAATGTGAGCATCACAACTGCTTTAAATGAGTAAAAACTGTTTGTCTTCTTATTATTCCCAACAGGACATGAGCAACTTTTACGCACAGTACAAATCCATCGAGCCGTACCTGAAAAGGAAGGACGAAAGCCAGGAGGGGAAAGAGCAGTATTTCCAGTCAGTAGATGACAGACAAAAACTGATAAATGATCCAGTTGCCTTTTTTAGTTTAATTTTGTGCCTCTATTGAGAGAGTCACAGAAAGCTGCAGAGAGAAACTACGATTTTTAATCCCTGTTTTCACTCAACAGGACGGCTTGTATGAGTGCATCCTTTGTGCTTGCTGCAGCACCGGCTGTCCCAGCTACTGGTGGAACGGAGACAAGTACCTGGGACCTGCTGTCCTCCTGCAGGTAGAGTATTAATTATTCAAATATGAAATAAACCTCATAATAAGGCCTTGAACCTTGGAGCAAACCGTATATTTTCAAATGATAAGAAAAACCCTGAATCCCTGTCGTCCCACAGGCGTACCGATGGATGATCGACTCCCGCGACGAGTTCACCGAGGAGCGTTTGGCTAAACTCCAGGACCCCTTCTCCCTTTACCGCTGCCACACCATCATGAACTGTACGAAGACTTGCCCCTAGGTGCTTTTACA